ACACACACACACACACACACACACACACACACACACACACACACACACACACACACACACACACACACACACACTGTAGCAGCTACATATTATCATTAACTTTATTTACACCTGTGTTCTTTCTGCTATGACATTAAAAAAAAAAAGTCTCTCAAGATGGTAATTCTGGTCCGCTCATATGGTGTGGGTGTGCATGGAGTCAGGAATCAATAATAATTGCAACTACAATATTGTTGCCTAAATGCACTCACAAATACACATATTCTCGTCTCATATCCTCACTTCTTCTTGCAGACACAGACTGTTCAGGAGGCTCTCCAGCGAACTCTACATTTCTACAGACAACAAGAAATCCGGTAAGGCTCTCCTCGCTTGCTGTCAGTCTCTCTTCCTGGTTTTCTTTCTAACTAACTCCCCTTCCTCAACCCATCAATCTTCAGTACACACTCTCTGTCTACCTGCTGCCTGTTCTTGTGTCCTGAGAATAAAAAATGTTCCTCCTTTGCCCTTACTTTTCTGCTTCTGCCTGTCTTTCTGTCACACACCTGTTCAGTTACTGTGAACAAAATCAACCCATAAGCAAATCATATCTCTTCTGTTGGAAAGAACATATAGTAACGGCGCAAAGGTTAGAAATGTTGTGTGTGACTAGGGGGTCTCTGGTCTAATTCCCAGACTGAGACAAATCTGTGTGGGAAGTACAGAGCATCACTTCCTCTCTTATTACTTCTGTGGGGGTGCATGACCTTGAGCTAATTTCCCTGTCCAGCTTTTTCTATGGATCTGCTCAACGACAAACACATTTGAACCTACACAGGCTAATTCAATTGTCAGATTACCCAAATCATAATAATGTATACATTATATTTCACATAACCATAATGGTATCTATACATTAGTTTTCCCACCACCCTCACCAAATGGATTTTATTTCAAATGTGTATTTTGTTTGAAGAGCTCCCTGCACAGGTACATGGCTTTAGAAATGTTCAGCTGCAATTACAGAAAAAAGCTCAAGTCATGTTAACCTTTAAGAATAACCCAGACATGTCAAGGGTTGTTTTTACTGAAAGAATAAACCTAAAGAACTGGTGACAGCACAGTTTGTGGTACATTAAATTAAAGTGGTAAACAATCCAATGTCTTCTGGCACAAAAACACACAAAAGAGCATCCCTGATGGATGTTTATTAGCTTCTCATTACTTTATTAAACCTTATATTTGGTGATCTTATGGCTAATACCCTCAGGGTGTTTTTTTTGGTCTTTGACAGGTGTCAGGAAGTTGGCAGTGAGGAGAGACGGAAAGAGAGGAGAGATGAGAAGTGCCCATTCTTAGAAAATTCAGGTTCGGAAGAAGATGTCCTACAAATCCTGCAGTACATGGCCACCATACTGGGTAAGTAGTGCACTAGAGGAACATGTGCATGTCTTATTGTGAGCTTGACATTGAGACTTAATGCATGTGTGTGTGTTTGACATCCTGTGCAAATAAGTAGATTTGGTAATGAGTGTGTGTACATATTTAGTATATAGTATTCATCCCTTTGTAACTGTGCTCTTTTTAGTTGTGTTGCTTTGGATGGATTTTACTGTGTTATATGTATCACATGCCAAGACACATAGACAATGCCTCCTTTCTTTCCCCCCATGCACATCCTTCAGTATTAGTATGGTGTTTGTGATGGGGGGTGCACACCTACACAGTTAAACAGAGCCATCCCCAAAAGGTACAACCTCTAAAACACACAGTAGACCTTTTATATTAAATAGGGAAATACAGAAAAAATAACCACAGTATCCTGGCCAAGGCAGTGCACATGCAGACACAAATACACAGCTATTTACATTATGCAAAAACACACACACTGTGACTCACTGTAAAGGCTTACACAGTCTCTAAGGCCTCCCATGAAAAAAAACAAAAAAAACACGCACGCACGCACGCACGCACGCACGCACGCACGCACGCACGCACGCACACACACACACACACACACACACACACACACACACACACACACACACACACACTGTCCTGCTGAGTCACTTAGTACATTTCTGTCCTCCCTCTCTATTCTCCCTGGCTCTTCTCTACAGTATTTACCTGCTTCTAGTCCTCCAAACTCCATCTCTGTCCCCATATTGCAGAGTTTCCACCACTGTGTGCATCAACTATACACGACTGTTTGTTAATATCTCTGTCCTTGAGTCATCTTCTTATCTGTCTTTATCTGTCTCTTTTGTCAGCTCTCCGCCATGCTTGCAGTCTATGTGTAGTTATAGCACCTGTTTGGCTGCAACTTGGTACACAATGTTTATCTGATACAGCCCTCCATGTGCGTTAGATCAGTCCTCACTATTTACAGTTTATCTATTTATCAATCCATGTTGTGCCACTTATCTGAATGTGAGTCATGGGGGCAGAAGGTTAAGCAAGAAATCCAGAAATCCAGTGTTTCTCTCCGGTCTTCCGTCTCTTCCCCTGGGATTCTGAGGTGTTCCTTGGCTAGATGCGATATCTAATCCCTGCAGAATCTTATCGATCTGCCGGGGCTTGCCCTCCCACTTTGATGTGCCTGAAATACATCCACATGGAGGCGTGAAAGGAGGCCTCGCTGCCAATAATGCCGTCTGTGCCCAAACCACCTCATCTGACTCTGAGAATGAGCTTTTTCTCCTAAAGGTTGAGTCATAGCAGGCACAGACAAATTCTTGAATTCCCGTTTGACCTCTCCACACTGTGTCATGATAAACTGATCTGATTTCATGAGTTCAGTTTTTAAAATGTACTCAACACATAATGTGTCTTTTAGCTGGTGAAGTGACATTTTAGAGGAGCAGTGAGCTTTTTACAGGGTTTGGCCCTTTGGTCACTGCGACACAAACTAATCACATTAACACACATGCAGATTTGTGTATGTCAAAGTCATTTTTGATGTGTTTAAGTTGAACATTTTACCATATATAAACGATCTGATAACGTTTAACAAATGTTGTCTTCAGTATCATTGTCACTCCTTTGCAGTTATTTTTTTACAAGCCTATATAGTTGTTCACTTTTATGTCCTCATTCATTATTGCTTTGAATGAAGTAAACCATTTTTGGCACATTTTGGGATTTTTATATTTGTGATATCAGGTTTTGTTTATTCCAAATGTCAATTTTAATTTAGCTTTAATCCTTTAATCCTATTTCTTTCTCATTATTCAGTCAGTAGGCATGTGACATGATTATTTTATCTTATCAATATTCATTATTTTAGCAACGCTTTGATGTTTGTTTACTCTTAACACTGTTCTGTGTTTGATAAGCTCACAATTAATATGCTGAATTTAAATTGTTGTCAAAACATATAATTGAGCACAGGCAGCTCCTACTCCAAACTATTATACACACTCAGTGGAGATCTCTGCATCTTACAATGACACTGAAAAACAGTGACCCAAGATGCAATTCTGCCTGCTGCTTAATGACATGTCAAGCACATTCCTCATGTCAATTTGCAGGTATTTGAGTGCAGTTATCTGGATGTGTGTATGGAGGCATGTTAGGTGTATTGTTGATAGTTTGTGTGTGTATTCTGTATTATCTTTGGATAGTTTGTCTGTGTATTCTGTATCGCTGACATTGTGTTTTCCTTCTGTCGCAGGCATACCATTCTGTGAGCTGCGAGAGCATTTCGGAGAGGAGTTCTTTGGCCTCTGCTTTGAAGAAAATGAACGAGTGCTTCGGGCTGTAGGCGGCAACCTCCAGGACTTCTTCAACGGCTTTGATGCCATCTTGGAACACATCCGCACCTCCACGGGTCGCCGGGCCTCGTCTGAGAGCCCTTCTTTCCAGTGCAAGGACCCCTATGAGGAGGAGACGGGGAGAAGACAATTGGACAAAGTTGGAGAGCGAGGAGAAACAGATGGAAGAGGGAAGGAGTTGCTTCTTCACTGTTTCAACCCGGGCCCTGTGGTTGGATTGGTCATGCCAGGGTTCATCAGAGCTGTTGCCAGGCGGATCTTTTATTCAGAAGTTGAGGTGGAAGAGGTGCCTCCTCTAACTCCCTTATTGCCCAATGAAGATACAGAACACACAGACGATGACTCCACAACCCCAACCCCAACCCCGACTGTGTCCCCCACTGCCTCACCCTCGTCGTCCCCGTCCCCTCCCTCTCCTTTCCAAACCTCTGTTCCCACAGTTTGCTTGTCCTTCCAAATCCAGGAGACAAGCCCTCCTTCCCTCCCCTCCCTCCCAAATTCTGTGCCGGTGTGCACTAAACGCCCCCTCCTTCCACTCTCCACCAACCCCAGCGATCTGCGCATCAGCCTGGCCACGTTTTGCCGTGCCTTTCCGTTTCACCTCGTCCTGGGGCCTCGCATGGAGCTACTGCAGCTCGGAGAAGGACTGAGGAAACAGGCTCGCATTGAGCCGCACCGGTGCCACGCGTTCAGGGACTGTTTTGAGATTGTCTCACCCAAGATGGAGCCTTCGTTCAAGGGCATCCTGCTGAGGCTTGCATCCCCATTTACCATCCGCACCAGGCCTGATATCACACAGTCTGGCACCAAGGAGAAGGTAATAATATCATATAAGACAGATGAAACTTTTACTCAAATCCTACTTTCTAACAACATATTATAGAAGATTATTCAATTCAATTCAAAACCTTTATTTATCCAGGTAAAATCCCATTGAGATCAATGATCTCTTTTTCAAGGGAGACCTGCAGCAGTAGGTTCCACATGAAAACATAAACAACAGAACAACAAAAGGACATCATACAGCAAAATGTACAGGGATTACAATTTACATATCTATCCACATGTACAGGTACCAACAGCATCTGATTTTGTAGCATCCAACCGAGCTTTAAAAACATGTAGTGGTACTAGCTTGGTAATTTTCCATTCTTTTTGCAGACTGTTCCAAGTTAGTGGAGCTGCACATCTAAAAGCTTTCTTCCCTAAGACAGTCCTAGCACTTGGCACATTTAATAAAACCATAGCATGCGATCTCAGGCAATAAGTACTTTCAATTCGCCGAGAGATCAGAGAGCAGATATAAGATGGTAGTTTATCCAACATGGCTTTGTAAATGAAAAAGTACCAGTGACTGAGCCTCCGTGCGTATTGCAGTTTTAGTTAGTTGGTGACTGCATTTTTGTTTCCCAATGTAAATGTTAAGGCTGTTGGTATGTTGTTTTATATTTATCTAACAAAACTAACTCTATCACAGTCAAGTACAGAACTTTTTGTACTGTGGAATATGTACAAGAATCAACATCTCTCTTTAATTAAGACTTTAAATTGTTTGTTTTTGAAACAGGTGGAGCACAAGAAGGCCACACTTTCCTTTAATTTCCAGTTTGTTATATAATGTTTCTATCAGATTCAAGACAGAGTGTCTGGGTTTGGCATAATTGCAAATATAATGTATTTGCTTTAGTTCTTTGTCTTGTAGAAAGGGAAGCTTTGTTGTTGCATACTATTTGTTTGGGTTTACCTTCTTAAAAACCAAAAAAACCAAAAAAGATAATGAGATTGTTGATGAAATTGTGTCCATACTGACTGTCTTTACTTGTCACTCCAACACATGCAGCACCACACCACAGCCTTGGATATTTTTGCATTGCAGGAATGAGTTTTAATGAGTTTTAATTTGCCAGACACAATCAATGAATCAGTGTTGAATGCTATATCTAGTCCTTTATTAGTTGGATGGTCCCCGCAGGCTGCCAGTGTCAGTCCCAAACACCCCGATGCTAAATATAATTGACAAGGCGAAGAAGGGTTCAGCCACAGTGCGGTGATGTGTGTTTGTTTGCTTGTTCATAAATGGGTGAGGCTTAGGTAGCACACATATGAGTATTATTGTATTGGAAAGTGAGACCTCTAAGATACAAGCTAGTTTCTAATAGTTTTGGTTACAAATTGAAGCAAAAGGTACATGTACTGAGGACACACTGATAGGGACAACGTACGGATGGTTCTGGTGAAATGGTGTTTGTATATTGCAGAACCACCTTCAAACTCAAATGGAAATGCTAGTGGGTGTTGAGCTGTTGAGTGTTCATGTACAGTATAAGCTGCTACACACTCTCCCCAGGACAAACAAACAAACAAAGCAAACAATCAATATATTAAAAGTCAGTTTATCGATATTTTTGAAGGGCATGTTTTGTTCCAATGGGATACATTCATGGAAATGTAGGGGTCCAAATGATACTGGCATATCAAATTGATTTGTATCAAAGAGTACTCCAATGCTTGCTAGCATTTTTGGATGCTAGTGCCAATGACAGCTTTCAGCCTTAAGTTAAAAACGGTTCCTCTCAGTTGTACTTTGTGGTTGTTGAGGCTTTTGAAGACTTGTTTAAACATTGCTGTTTTTCTTCTTCTTGTGATCTTAGTGGTGTCTTGTCTAGCTGGAGGCTGACTGTGTGAGATGAGATAAGGATTTAACCCTGTTTTGTCTGCTCTGGTAGGCAAAGCATCAATATGAGGCACAAGGTGGGTGACTATAAGTGAAATATGAATTGGAGGGTATGAAGGTAAACCATTATTCTTTACTCGTCTCATATTTTTTTAACATCAGTGCCATTTCTCATTGGTGTGAAACTGGCCCAACGAATGGAGAGAATATTTCTGAACGTCATGTAGTTTCTTACAGAGTGGTAAAATGGGAATACACTGCACCACAGATCTGCAGCCAAAGGCAGATGGTGCAGTTAAAAGTCTTGTCCAGTGTCAAGTTTTCCTCTCATATCCATGTTTGCACTAGTGTCTTCATTGGCACATAAATATATCCCACTTACAAATTCACATGGCACACAAACAAGGTTGAACAAATTTCTAAACAACCCTCATACAAGTATTATTTTCACATCTTGTAAAGTATTTTTTTTGTTTGTTGCAAGATGCAGGATGATAGGAGGGTTTAATTTCAATTCATATCATTTCAATGCCTTAGAGAGTTGTCTATGTCCAGGATCATAGAGGGCAAAACATCTTTGAGAATTATTCACAAAAGCAGAACATGTCTGTACCACAAAAGTGAATCCCTTATTGTGGCTCTTCTCATAAAAGTAGTTTACTGCAGTATGAAGGCTAGAGTGTTTCAACTTTATTTACGCAGAGATCTAATTGGATGATTTCGGTTTTGCATTGGGCAAATGAACCAATCCCGGGATTTAGTGCATTTTATCCGAACATATTACTAATCAAACCGAAATGTTTGCGTATACCAGGGGTGTCAAACTCAATTTCATTCATTCATTAGCATTATGGTTGCAGTCAAAGGGCCGGTTGTAACTATATAAATATACATATATAAACACATAACATATATGAAATAATGTATTATATTATATTATTGCCTCTGCATTGTATTTTTATTGGATAGGATAATAACTTGTAGCATGTAACCGTATAATAAGTGTATTATATTCTTTGCAAGCTCTTGCGGGCCACATAAAATGAAGTTGCGGGCCGGATTTGGCCCCTGGCCCTTGAGTTTGACACCGCTGGCGTATACGATGCCCACAGTCATCAAGCCCTCGAAAGTATCTGCAGGATTCCACTTTTCAGAGTCGAGCCTCGAGGATCATTAAAATA